TCACCCAAAACCCCAGGCCTCTTCTTCTTCTACACTGAGAGACACAGAGGACTCAGTATTTATACCCTCCTAACAATCTAGTCTTTTAGTGTGAACGCTCCTGCGACCGAATACAGAGACTTTTTCTCATTTTGAAGACATACTAAGGACACAAACATAGTCTAGCACTTTACAGCCGCAGCCGCCCCACTGTAGCACCTGGTGTTCCCGGAGTTCTCCCATCATAGTACTAACCAGGCCCTGCCCTGCTTAGCTTCAGAGGTCTGATGGGCTCTTGCGTTCTCCTGCAGCTGTGTGTGTGATACAGACGTGTCTCACTCACTTGCACCTGGAAGGCGTTTTTTCTGCGATAAGAATCTTCCGGAGGCTCTCGGTTCCAGTACTTGTTGTCGACCACGGACAGCGCCCCCCGCAGGCCTGGACCAGCTCTGTCAGCCCTGCACTCTGCTCCACAAACTGAACCATGTGCATGTCCTCTGGAAGCTGGTCCCCGTGAGTGAAGACCACCGTGAGGAAGCCAAACACCTGCACCAGGACCAGGAGAACCAGTGAGAGAGTGGAACTAGGACCAGGAGAACCAGTGAGAGGGTGAACTAGGACCAGGGAAGAACCAGTGAGAGGGGTGAACTAGGACCAGGAGAACCAGTGAGAGAGTGAACTAGGACCAGGAGAACCAGTGAGAGAGTGAACTAGGACCAGGAGAACCAGTGAGAGGGGTGAACTAGGACCAGGAGAACCAGTGAGAGTGAACTAGGACCAGGAGAAACCAGTGAGAGAGAGTGAACTAGGACCAGGAGAACCAGTGAGAGAGTGAACTAGGACCAGGAGAACCAGTGAGAGGGTGAACTAGGACCAGGAGAACCAGTGAGAGGGTGAACTAGGACCAGGAGAACCAGTGAGAGGGTGTACCAGGACCAGGAGAACCAGTGAGAGGGGGAACTAGAACCAGGAGAACCAGTGAGAGGGTGAACTAGGACCAGGAGAACCAGTGAGAGTGAACTAGGACCAGGAGAACCAGTGAGAGGGTGAACTAGGATGAGGAGAACCAGTGAGAGGGTGAACTAGGACCAGGAGAACCAGTGAGAGAGTGAACAATGACCAGGAGAACCAGTGAGAGAGTGAACTAGGACCAGGAGAACCAGTGAGAGAGTGAAACTAGGACCAGGAGAACCAGTGAGAGGGTGAACTAGGACAAGGAGAACCAGTGAGAAGGTGAACTAGGACCAGGAGAGAAACCAGTGAGAGAGTGAACTAGGACCAGGAGAACCAGTGAGAGGGTGAACCAGGACAAGGAGAACCAGTGAGAGGGTGAACTAGGACCAGGAGAACCAGTGAGAGAGTGAACTAGGACCAGGAGAACCAGTGAGAGAGTGAACTAGGACCAGGAGAACCAGTGAGAGAGTGTGCCAGGACCAGGAGAACCAGTGAGAGGGTTGTACCAGGACCAGGAGAACCAGTGAGAGAGGGTGAACCAGGACTAGGAGAACCAGTGAGAGGGTGAACTAAGACCAGGAGAACCAGTGACGGGTGAACTAGGACCAGGAGAAACAGTGAGAAAGTGTGCCAGGACCAGGAGAACCAGTGACAGGGTGAACTAGGACCAGGAGAACCAGTGAGAGAGTGTACCAGGACCAGGATAACAGTGAGAGGGTGAACTAGGACCAGGAGAACCAGTGAGAGAGTGTACCAGGACCAGGAATAACCAGTGAGAGGGTGAACTAGGACCAGGAGAACCAGTGAGAGGGTGAACTAGGACCAGGATAACCAGTGAGAGGGTTGTACCCAGGACCAGGAGAACCAGTGTGAGGGTGAACCAGGACCAGGGAGAACCAGTGAGAGGGAGTACCAGGACCTGGACTGTGAGGCAACACTGACATTTCCCGACTGTGGGACCAGTAAAGGGTGGTTCTGGTACCTGGTCTCCACACAGTGTCCGCACTCGCCGCACCACGGCCTCCTCTTGGCAGGTGTATCTCTGCACCGACATCACCAGCAGAACAGCATGAGGTCTGGAGCACACTGCAGCAGAGCACTGAGCCACTCACACCTCTGAGCCCGACCCGAGGCCCCCTGCAGAGGGGTACCGACCAGACCAGGGGAGTCCACCACCTACCAGAGAGACCAGAGGAGAGACCAGAGAGAGACCAGAGAGGGATCAGAGAGAGACCAGAGAGAGACCAGAGAGATCAGAGACGGAGAGACCAGAAGGGAGGACCAGAGAGACCAGAAGGGAGACCAGAGAGAGACCAGAGAGAGACCAGAAGGGAGACCAGAGAGAGACCAGAGACAGACCAGAGACAGACCAGAGAGACCAGAAGGGAGTCCAGAGAGACCAGAAGGGAGACCAGAGAGACCAGAAGGGAGTCCAGAGAGACCAGAAGGGAGACCAGAGAGACCAGAAGGGAGACCATAGAGACCAGAAGGGGATCAGAGAGAGAAAAACAAAATTATCTTCTTAGCCTCTTGCATTGAGCACACGATTAACTTTTGTAGGTCTGAAAGTTGGTAAATTTGCTAAGTATGTATTGTTTCTTACATTTCAATAGTTAAATCTAGTAAAACTTCTCCATGGTTTGTGTTTTAGTCATGACAAGAGCTTAAGGCTGGCTCTTGGTTAAAGAAGTAGTAGAAATATTCAGCAATATATAATATACAGCAATAGGCATGAAAAGAACTCAGTGAAGGAGAGAGGGGTGTCCACACTTTTGGTCTGTACTGTATATACAGTATATATTAAAAGAAAATGATGTGAGATAAGTAGAAAGATTTGTTTGATTTTCTATATATAACACCAAGATGTCTGCCCCTGGTCTGTCCAAGTTGTTGGAGACCACTGAACTAAAGCACACCCCATCAATCAGAGTGAGTGCGTATAGGACCAGCTCTGACCGTGAGAGTCCGGGTCCGGTCTGGGGCCTGGTCTGGGTTCTGGTCTGGGTTCTGGTGTGGCTCTGGGACCTCCGAATCTCCTTGTTACTCCTGTGGCTCACACTGAACACAGACTCCCCCAGGAGGAGGTTGGCCAGACTGCTCTTCCCACAGCCCTGCTTCCCCAGCAGCAGCACCCGGGAGCGACTCTGGCTCTGCACAACCAACACCTGGGATTTAAATTCACGTTCAGTACTTTACATTTTACATTCATGTCCTCAGGCTGCAGTGGACAGAAGCAACTGTGCTTTTATTACTGAATATAGTGGTACATATGGTCTCTCTCTGGTCTCTCTCTGGTCTCTCTCTGGTCTCTCTCTGGTCTCTCTCTGGTCTCTCTCTGGTCTCTCTCTGGTCTCTCTCTGGTCTCTCTCTAGTCTCTCTCTGGTCTCTCTCTGATCTCTCTCTGGTCTCTCTCTGGTCTCTCTCTGGTCTCTTTCTGGTCGTCTCTGGTCTCTCTCTCTTTTCTCTCTCTGGTCTCTCTCTGGTCTCTCTCTGGTCCCTCTCTGGTCTCTTTCTGGTCGTCTCTGGGTCTCTCTCTCTTTTCTCTCTCTGGTCTCTCTTTGGTCTCTCTCTGGTCTCTCTCTGGTCTCTCTCTGGTCTCTCTCTAGTCTCTCTCTGGTCTCTCTCTTTTCTCTCTCTGGTCTCTCTCCGGTCTTGTGTATCGAGAACAAGGCTTTAAGGCGCTCACATCGCTTCAGAAACAGGAAGAAAAAGTATTAGTACCAGAGCCATGTCTTCACTAACAGTTTGACTAAAGTAAGTAAAATAATAATACATGTATTAGTACACATATGGTTAGGATAGAGCGCTCTCACCTCCCATGGTGCTGGTCTGTCTGGACTGGTGCAGAGTCTGGCACCAGTTACTTTCACTTTCACAGAGGCGGAGTCTCAACCACAGCCGATCCCAAAACACCTGCAGAACCTGCTCGGACAAATATCTCACCACTGAGAGAGAGACCAGAGGGAGAGACCAGAGGGAGAGGCCAGCGAGAGACCAGAGAGAGAGACCAGAGAGAGAGGCCAGAGAGAGAGACCAGAGAGAGAGACCAGAGGGAGAGACCAGAGAGAGAGACCAGAGAGAGAGACCAGAGGGAGAGACCAGAGAGAGACCAGAGAGAGACCAGAGAGAGAGGCCAGAGGGAGAGGCCAGAGAGAGACCAGATGGAGAGGCCAGAGAGAGACCAGAGAGAGAGACCAGAGAGAGACCAGAGAGAGAGGCCAGAGAGAGAGACCAGAGAGAGACCAGAGGGAGAGACCAGAGGGAGAGACCAGAGGGAGAGAGGCCAGAGAGAGACCAGAGAGAGACCAGAGAGAGACCAGAGAACTTAACTAAACTGTAAAGCACTTTGTGTTGATTTTTTGTATGAAAAGCGCTTTTTAAATACAATTTGATTGATTGATCTTGGAGAGACCAGGGGCAGACATCTTGGAGAGACCGGGGGCAGACATCTTGGAGAGACCAGGGGCAGACATGTCACTCCCGTATTCGTCCCCGAAACCGGATTCGTCCGGAAGTTCAGTTTGCGCATGTCAAAAAGTTTAATATGTCCTTAAATGGAGACTGGTTAAGTTTAGGCGTCTGAGTAAGATGGTTAAGGTTAGGGTTAAGGCTGGGTTGGGGTTATTTATGGGAATGGCTGGTTAAGTTTAGGCATGAATAGGTAGTTTTTTATATTTACTTCCGCTTCCGTCCAGATTCCGTGACGTAATCTACTGCTGCGTATGCTCATTGGATCAAACTGAACTTCCGGACGAATCCGGTTTCCGGGACGAATACGGGAGTGACATGTCTGCCCTGGTCTCTCCAAGATGTCTGCCCCGGTCTCTCCAAGATGTCTGCCCCTGGTCTCTCCAAGATCAATCAATCAAATTGTATTTAAAAAGCGCTTTTCATACAAAAAATCAACACAAAGTGCTTTACAGTTTAGTTAAGTTCTCTGGTCTCTCTCTGGTCTCTCTCTGGTCTCTCTCTGGCCTCTCCCTCTGGTCTCTCCCTCTGGTCTCTCCCTCTGGTCTCTCTCTGGTCTCTCTCTCTGGCCTCTCTCTCTGGTCTCTCTCTGGTCTCTCTCTCTGGTCTCTCTCTGGCCTCTCCATCTGGTCTCTCTCTGGCCTCTCCCTCTGGCCTCTCTCTCTGGTCTCTCTCTGGTCTCTCTCTGGTCTCTCCCTCTGGTCTCTCTCTCTGGTCTCTCTCTCTGGTCTCTCCCTCTGGTCTCTCTCTCTGGTCTCTCTCTCTGGCCTCTCTCTCTGGTCTCTCTCTCTGGTCTCTCGCTGGCCTCTCCCTCTGGTCTCTCCCTCTGGTCTCTCTCTCAGTGGTGAGATATTTGTCCCGAGCAGGTTCTGCAGGTGTTTTGGGATCGGCTGTGGTTGAGACTCCGCCTCTGTGAAAGTGAAAGTAACTGGTGCCAGACTCTGCACCAGTCCAGACAGACCAGCACCATGGGAGGTGAGAGCGCTCTATCCTAACCATATGTGTACTAATACATGTATTATTATTTACTTACTTTAGTCAAACTGTTAGTGAAGACATGGCTCTGGTACTAATACTTTTTCTTCCTGTTTCTGAAGCGATGTGAGCGCCTTAAAGCCTTGTTCTCGGATACACAAGGACCGGAGAGAGACCAGAGAGAGAAAAGAGAGAGACCAGAGAGAGACTAGAGAGAGACCAGAGAGAGACCAGAGAAGAGACCAGAGAGAGACCAAAGAGAGACCAGAGAGAGAAAAGAGAGAGAGACCAGAGACGACCAGAAAGAGACCAGAGAGGGGACCAGAGAGAGACCAGAGAGAGACCAGAGAGAGAAAAGAGAGAGAGACCAGAGACGACCAGAAAGAGACCAGAGAGAGACCAGAGAGAGACCAGAGAGAGATCAGAGAGAGACCAGAGAGAGACTAGAGAGAGAGACCAGAGAGAGACCAGAGAGAGACCAGAGAGAGACCAGAGAGAGACCAGAGAGAGACCAGAGAGAGACCAGAGAGAGACCAGAGAGAGACCATATGTACCACTATATTCAGTAATAAAAGCACAGTTGCTTCTGTCCACTGCAGCCTGAGGACATGAATGTAAAATGTAAAGTACTGAACGTGAATTTAAATCCCAGGTGTTGGTTGTGCAGAGCCAGAGTCGCTCCGGGTGCTGCTGCTGGGGAAGCAGGGCTGTGGGAAGAGCAGTCTGGCCAACCTCCTCCTGGGGGAGTCTGTGTTCAGTGTGAGCCACAGGAGTAACAAGGAGATTCGGAGGTCCAGAGCCACACCAGAACCCAGACCAGAACCCAGACCAGGCCCCAGACCGGGACCCGGACTCTCACGGTCAGAGCTGGTCCTATACGCACTCACTCTGATTGATGGGGTGTGCTTTAGTTCAGTGGTCTCCAACAACTTGGACAGACCAGGGGCAGACATCTTGGTGTTATATATAGAAAATCAAACAAATCTTTCTACTTATCTCACATCATTTTCTTTTAATATATACTGTATATACAGTACAGACCAAAAGTGTGGACACCCTCTCTCCTTCACTGAGTTCTTTTCATGCCTATTGCTGTATATTATATATTGCTGAATATTTCTACTACTTCTTTAACCAAGAGCCAGCCTTAAGCTCTTGTCATGACTAAAACACAAACCATGGAGAAGTTTTACTAGATTTAACTATTGAAATGTAAGAAACAATACATACTTAGCAAATTTACCAACTTTCAGACCTACAAAAGTTAATCGTGTGCTCAATGCAAGAGGCTAAGAAGATAATTTTGTTTTTCTCTCTCTGATCCCTTCTGGTCTCTATGGTCTCCCTTCTGGTCTCTCTGGTCTCCCTTCTGGTCTCTCTGGACTCCCTTCTGGTCTCTCTGGTCTCCCTTCTGGTCTCTCTGGACTCCTTCTGGTCTCTCTGGTCTGTCTCTGGTCTGTCTCTGGTCTCTCTCTGGTCTCCCTTCTGGTCTCTCTCTGGTCTCTCTCTGGTCTCCCTTCTGGTCTCTCTGGTCTCCCTTCTGGTCTCTCTGATCTCTCTGGTCTCTCTCTGGTCTCTCTCTGATCCCTCTCTGGTCTCTCTCTGGTCTCTCTCTGGTCTCTCTGGTAGGTGGTGGACTCCCCTGGTCTGGTCGGTACCCCTCTGCAGGGGGCCTCGGGTCGGGCTCAGAGGTGTGAGTGGCTCAGTGCTCTGCTGCAGTGTGCTCCAGGACCTCATGCTGTTCTGCTGGTGATGTCGGTGCAGAGATACACCTGCCAAGAGGAGGCCGTGGTGCGGCGAGTGCGGGACACTGTGTGGAGACCAGGTACCAGAACCACCCTTTACTGGTCCCACAGTCGGGAAATGTCAGTGTTGCCTCACAGTCCAGGTCCTGGTACTCCCTCTCACTGGTTCTCCTGGTCCTGGTTCACCCTCACACTGGTTCTCCTGGTCCTGGGTACACCCTCTCACTGGTTATCCTGGTCCTAGTTCACCCTCTCACTGGTTCTCCTGGTCCTAGTTCACCCTCTCACTGGTTATCCTGGTCCTGGTACACTCTCTCACTGGTTCTCCTGGTCCTAGTTCACCCTCTCACTGGTTATCCTGGTCCTGGTACACTCTCTCACTGGTTCTCCTGGTCCTAGTTCACCCTGTCACTGGTTCTCCTGGTCCTGGCACACTTTCTCACTGGTTCTCCTGGTCCTAGTTCACCCGTCACTGGTTCTCCTGGTCTTAGTTCACCCTCTCACTGGTTCTCCTAGTCCTGGTTCACCCTCTCACTGGTTCTCCTGGTCCTGGTACACCCTCTCACTGGTTCTCCTGGTCCTGGCCACACTCTCTCACTGGTTCTCTGGTCCTAGTTCACTCTCTCACTGGTTCTCCTGGTCCTAGTTCACTCTCTCACTGGTTCTCCTGGTCCTAGTTCACCCTCTCACTGGTTCTCCTTGTCCTGGTTCACCCTCTCACTGGTTCTCCTGGTCCTAGTTCACTCTCTCACTGGTTCTCCTGGTCCTAGTTCACCTTCTCACTGGTTCTCCTTGTCCTAGTTCACCCTCTCACTGGTTCTCCTGGTCCTAGTTCACTCTCTCACTGGTTCTCTGGTCCTAGTTCACTCTCTCACTGGTTCTCCTGGTCATTGTTCACTCTCTCACTGGTTCTCCTGGTCCTAGTTCACCCTCTCACTGGTTCTCCTCATCCTAGTTCACCCTCTCACTGGTTCTCCTGGTCCTAGTTCACTCTCACTGGTTCTCCTGGTCCTAGTTCACCCTCTCACTGGTTCTCCTGGTTCTAGTTCCCCCTCTCACTGGTTCTCCTGGTCCTGGTACACCCTCTCACTGGTTCTCCTGGTCCTAGTTCACCCTCTCACTGGTTCTCCTGGTCCTAGTTCACCCTCTCACTGGTTCTCCTGGTCCTAGTTCACTCTCTCACTGGTTCTCCTGGTCCTAGTTCACTCTCTCACTGGTTCTCCTGGTCCTAGTTCACTCTCACTGGTTCTCCTGGTCCTAGTTCACCCTCTCACTGGTTCTCCTGGTCCTAGTTCACTCTCTCACTGGTTCTCCTGGTCCTAGTTCACTCTCTCACTGGTTCTCCTGGTCCTAGTTCACCCTCTCACTGGTTCTCCTGGTCCTAGTTCACCCTCTCACTGGTTCTCCTGGTCCTAGTTCACTCTCTCACTGGTTCTCCTGGTCCTGGTGCAGGTGTTTGGCTTCCTCACGGTGGTCTTCACTCACGGGGACCAGCTTCCAGAGGACATGCACATGGTTCAGTTTGTGGAGCAGAGTGCAGGGCTGACAGAGCTGGTCCAGGCCTGCGGGGGGCGCTGTCACGTGGTCGACAACAAGTACTGGAACCGAGAGCCTCCGGAAGATTCTTATCGCAGCAACGCCTTCCAGGTGCAAGTGAGTGAGACACGTCTGTATCACACACAGCTGCAGGAGAACGCAAGAGCCCATCAGACCTCTGAAGCTAAGCAGGGCAGGGCCTGGTTAGTACTATGATGGGAGAACTCCGGGAACACCAGGTGCTACAGTGGGGCGGCTGCGGCTGTAAAGTGCTAGACTATGTTTGTGTCCTTAGTATGTCTTCAAAAATGAGAAAAAGTCTCTGTATTCGGTCGCAGCGTTCACACTAAAAGACTAGATTGTTAGGAGGGTTAAATACTGAGTCCTCTGTGTCTCTCAGTGTAGAAGAAGAAGAGGCCTGGGGTTTTGGGTGAAAATCCAGTGTTTTTCCACAGTGTGAGAGAATGAGTGGATCCTTAGAGACAATATGAGAGGCTCAGAGTGTTCTCAAGATCTTGTTTAAGGTCAAAGTAACGTGTTGTGTTTGTTTTTGTAGGAGATCCTGGCGACGGTGGAGAAAACAGCTCGACAAAACCAAACGTTTTTCAGCAATGATACATTACTGCAAGTGGAGCGTGAGATTCAGGCCGAGACCATGCGCATTCAAAGCAGCTCAGGTCTGAGTCCGGGTCCGGGTCTAGGTCCAGGTCAGGATACGGGTCCGGGTCAGGAAGAGAGCCGGGAGCAGGCCAAGACCTTGCTGCTCGGCAAGTACATGAAGGAAGCCACAGCGCGGCCGCCGTATCTGAAGTACACAGTGATGGCTGCGGCCGGAGTCCTGGGAGTCGCTGTCATTTGCTACACACTCCCAAAAGTAATTCGGTGGCTGAGGGAGGTCCCACTGGTCCCTGAGATGGTTCCAGAGGTCCCACTGGTCCCTGAGATGGTTTCCAGAGGTCCCACTGGTCCCTGAGATAGTTCCAGAGGTCCCATTGGTCCCTGAGATAGTTCCAGAGGTCGTACTGGTCCCTGGGATGCTTCCAGAGGTCCCACTGGGACCTCTGGAACTATCTCAGGGACCAGTGGGACCTCTGGAACCATCTCAGGGACCAGTGGGACCTCTGGAACCATCTCAGGGACCAGTGGGACCTCCCTCAGCCACCGAATTACTTTTGGGAGTGTGTAGCAAATGACAGCGACTCCCAGGACTCCGGCCGCAGCCATCACTGTGTATTCAGATACGGCGGCCGCGCTGTGGCTTCCTTCATGTACTTGCCGAGCAGCAAGGTCTTGGCCTGCTCCCGGCTCTCTTCCTGACCCGGACCCGTATCGCCTCCTTCTGACTCACTGTCAAAGCTGCGCCTCCTTCTGACTCACTGTCAATACTAAGGACACACACACCTGCGCCTCCTTCTGACTCAGTGTCAAAGCTGCGCCTCCTTCTGACTCAGTGTCAAAGCTGCGCCTCCTTCTGACTCAGTGTCAAAGCTGCGCCTCCTTCTGATGATGGTGAAGTGATAAATGTTGGTGTGAAAAGGTGAGTGTGTCTGACCTGAGCAGTTGAGATGAAGACTTTGATCAGAGTCAGATGTTTCTTTATCAAAACAGTCGATCAGTTCAGGTTCATCACAGTCTTCTTTGACTTCCACAGCTTTTTGTTTTTGAACTGTTTTTCTCTCCAGAGACAGAGCAGAGCCACAGTCCAGCTCAGAGCAGACTCTGGATCCAAACTCCAGATGAACAGACTCATAATAATAGAAGGGAACCAGTGGAGTCCAGTCCAGACCTGGTCTCTGCAGCTGCACCTCCCCCTGACAGCGACTGGCTCCTCCCTCCAGCCTCAGACTGTAAGACCCTGGAACAGGAGACACTGTCAGTGTGTGTGTGTCTGTGTGTGTGGATATTTCCTGATGAGTTGTGTGCGTCTGTTACCTGATAAATGGTGTGTGTGTGTGTGTGTGTGTGTGTGTGTATTACCTGATGGGTTGTGTGTGTTACCTAATAAGTTGTGTGTGTGTGTGTGCTACTTGATGAATTGTGTGTGTGTGTATTAACTAATATATTGTGTGTGTGTGTTACCTAAGGAGTTGCATGTGTGTGTTTCCTTATAAATGGTGTTTGTGTGTTACCTGATGTGTTTGTGTGCGTGATATTTGATGAGTTGTGTGTGTGTGTGCGTGTTACCTGATGAGTTGTGTGTGTCTCCCAGGACCCCTGCACACAGAGAAGTTGTGTTACAAAATGTCGACTGTGGGTCATGACACAGGGCGACACACAACTGGGTACACTGAGAGACCAGAGAGAGACCAGAGAGAGACCAGAGAGTGACCAGAGAGAGACCAGAGAGAGACCAGTGAGTGACCAGAGAGAGACCAGTGAGTGACCAGAGAGAGACCAGAGAGAGACCAGAGAGTGACCAGAGAGAGACCAGAGAGAGACCAGTGAGTGACCAAAGAGAGACCAGTGAGTGACCAGAGAGAGACCAGAGAGAGACCAGTGAGTGACCAGAGAGAGACCAGAGAGTGACCAGAGAGAGACCAGAGAGAGACCAGTGAGTGACCAGAGAGAGACCAGTGAGTGACCAGAGAGCGACCAGTGACTGACCAGAGAGAGACAAGAGAGAGAGACCAGAGGGAGACCAGAGAGAGACCAGAGAGAGACCAAAGGGAGACCAGAGAGAAACCAGAGAGAGACCAGAGAGAGACCAGAGGGAGACCAGAGAGAGAGACCAGAGGGAGACCAGAGAGAGACCAGTGAGTGACCAGAGAGAGACCAGTGAGTGACCAGAGAGAGACCAGAGAGTGACCAGAGAGCGACCAGTGACTGACCAGAGAGAGACAAGAGAGAGAGACCAGAGGGAGACCAGAGAGAGACCAGAGAGAGACCAGAGGGAGACCAGAGAGAAACCAGAGAGAGACCAGAGAGAGACCAGAGGGAGACCAGAGAGAGAGACCAGAGGGAGACCAGAGGGAGACCAGAGAGGGACCAGAGAGAGATCAGAGAGAGATCAGAGAGAGACCAGAGAGAGACCAGAGAGAGACCAGAGGGAGACCAGAGAGAGACCAGAGAGAGACCAGAGGGAGACCAGAGGGAGACCAGAGAGAGACCAGAGAGAGACCAGAGAGAGACCAGAGAGAGACCAGAGGGAGACCAGAGGGACACCAGAGGGAGACCAGAGAAAGACCACAGAGAGACAAGAGAGAGACCAGAGAGAGACCAGAGAGAGACCAGAGGGAGACCAGAGAGAAACCAGAGAGAGACCAGAGAGAGACCAGAGGGAGACCAGAGAGAGAGACCAGAGGGAGACCAGAGAGAGACCAGTGAGTGACCAGAGAGAGACCAGTGAGTGACCAGAGAGAGACCAGAGAGTGACCAGAGAGCGACCAGTGACTGACCAGAGAGAGACAAGAGAGAGAGACCAGAGGGAGACCAGAGAGAGACCAGAGAGAGACCAGAGGGAGACCAGAGAGAAACCAGAGAGAGACCAGAGAGAGACCAGAGGGAGACCAGAGAGAGAGACCAGAGGGAGACCAGAGGGAGACCAGAGAGGGACCAGAGAGAGATCAGAGAGAGATCAGAGAGAGACCAGAGAGAGACCAGAGAGAGACCAGAGGGAGACCAGAGAGAGACCAGAGAGAGACCAGAGGGAGACCAGAGGGAGACCAGAGAGAGACCATAGAGAGACCAGAGAGAGACCAGAGAGAGACCAGAGAGAGACCAGAGGGAGACCAGAGGGACACCAGAGGGAGACCAGAGAAAGACCACAGAGAGACAAGAGAGAGACCAGAGAGAGACCAGAGGGAGACCAGAGAGAGACCAGAGAGAGACCAGAGAGTGACCAGAGAGAGACTGGAGAGAGACCAGAGAGAGACCAGTGACTGACCAGAGAGAGACCAGAGGGAGACCAGAGAGAGACCAGAGAGAGACCAGAGAGAGACCAGAGGGAGACCAGAGGGACACCAGAGGGAGACCAGAGAGAGACCACAGAGAGACAAGAGAGAGACCAGAGAGAGACCAGAGGGAGACCAGAGAGAGACCAGAGAGAGACCAGAGAGAGCGCAGAGAGAGACCAGAGAGAGACCAGAGGGAGACCAGAGGGAGACCAGAGGGAGACCAGAGCTGGACCAGAGAGAGAACAGAGAGACCAGAGAGAGACCAGAGCTGGACCAGAGAGAGACCAGAGAAAGACCAGAGGGAGACCAGAGAGAGACCAGAGGGAGACCAGAGGGAGACCAGAGAGAGACCGGAGAGAGACCAGAGGGAGACTAGAGAGAGACCACAGAGAAATCAGAGAGAGTCTGGTGAGAGACCAGAGAGAGACCAGAGAGAGACCAGAGAAGGACCAGAGAGAGACCAGAGTGAGAGACCAGAGGGACACGAGAGAGAAACCCGAAAGATACCAGAGAGAAACCAGAGAAGACCAGAGAGAGACCAGAGGGATACCAGAGAGAAACCCGAAAGATACCAGAGATACCAGAGAGAGACCAGAGAGAGACCAGACAGAGACTAGAGAGAGACCAGTGAGAGACCAGAAAGAGACCAGAGAGCGACCAGAGAGCGACCAGAGAGAGACCAGTGAGTGACCAGAGAGAGACCATCGAGAGACCAGGAAGAGACCAGAGAGAGACCAGAGAGAGACAAGAGAGCGACCAGAGAGAGACCAGAGAGAGACCAGAGAGAGACCAGAGGAAGACCATAGAGAAACCAGGGAATTAAAAAACGATGATATTTTGAACTTTGTTAAATTAACTCTGAGCCCATTCCTCCTTCACTTTCTCTCATTCTCATCCGTCTGAAGCCGGACTAAACCAGGACTGAAGCCGGTCTAAACCAGGACTAGGTCTGGTCTGGGTCTGGTCTCACTGATCGCTGTCTCTTGAACATGTTCTTATCTCGTCGTCGTCACTTTTTCTTGTGAAGACGGAAATGTTTTAATCTGATGTAAACGTTTCCACGAACTGCTCAGTCTCTTCCATTTAAAGCTCGGGTCTCTAACTTCTCTGTTTCCATAGTAACAGGTCGTTGGTCCGACAGAAAGGGCCTCGTAAATGTGAAATGTTTGAACAAATCAGACCAGAGAGAGACCAGAGAGAGACCAGAGAGAGACCAGAGAGAGACCAGAGAGAGAGACTAGAGAGAGACCAGAGAGAGACCAGAGAGAGAGACTAGAGAGAGACCAGAGAGAGACCAGAGAGAGACCAGAGAGAGACCGGAGAGAGACCAGAGAGACCAGAGAGAGACCAGAAGGAGACCAGAGGGAGACCAGAGAGAGACCAGAGAGAGAGACCAGAGAGAGACCAGAGAGAGACCAGAGAGAGACCAGAGAGAGACCAGAGAGAGAGACCAGAGGGAGACCAGAGAGAGACCAGAGAGAGACCAGAGAGAGACCAGAGAGAGACCAGAGAGAGACCAGAGAGAGAGACCAGAGGGAGACTAGAGAGAGACCAGAGAGAGACCAGAGAGAGACCAGAGAAAGACCAGAGAGGGAGACCAGGGAATTTAAAAACGATGATATTTTGAACTTTGTTAAATTAACTCTGAGCCCATTCCTCCTTCACTTTCTCTCATTCTGACTGATATGTTTCACAGTCTCTGCTGTCTCCATGGAGACGGCCCCCACCGCCTCCTCTCGGCTGCGGCTCTGAGGCTAAAGCTCTGGGACAAACAAGGATCTACAAGGTTTACTTTGATTGTTTTTAATCTATTTATTCAAAGCCGAAAATAAAAACCTTGTCACATAAAGAGGCAGATTAAAGGGTCTTCAGCTTCAACACAATGTTTTCTAAAATCTACACTTTTTAAAAAGCTCTGGTTCAGAAGCAACTTCTCTGTTTACGTTTGAACCAAACAAAAAGTCTGAAAAATAGAACAAGAGAATTCAAACACTTACCCAGACAGCAAAGGGACAGAAGCAGGACTCTGATGGCCATGGTCTGGACCAGGACTGGACCAGGTCTGAACAAGGTCTGAACCGGGTCTGAACCAGGTCTGAACCAGGTCTGAAGCAGGTCTGAACCAGGTCTGAACCAGGTCTGAACCAGGTCAGAACCAGGTCTAGGTCTGCAGGACGTGTCTTCAACAGGAAAAAGCGTATCACATATTTCCGTATTTGCAGAAAAACCACGAGATCAGTGGATAAGAAAGTGTGAAAACACCTTGATGCTCGTCTGCACTTTGGAAACACAAATACAGTGCCTTGTGAAAGTATTCGGCCCCCTTGAACCTTTCAACATTTCGCCACATTTCAGGCTTCAAACATAAAGATACATTTTTGTTATTTTTTGTCATGAATCAACAAGTGGGACAAAATCGTGAAGTGGCACAAAATTTATTGGATAATTTA